TGTTGTGCAGGAAAGTATGTAAATAAATGCTGAGGATATTTCTTTGACTCCGTGTCAGCAAAGAAAACAGCTTCATCAAGTCTCAAATCATGCCTTTCCTTGCACATTCCTACAAGTTCATTGGCTGTAAGATCATAAATGATCTGAGGCATAAATGAGTCAACATGAAGGAAGAAAAAAAAAAAAAAAAAAGAGGAAATAAATACCTAAATGACCTTTTATATTTCTCTCAAAATGTTATGGATAATATAAAAATGTCTCTCTTAATGTCTGAAACCTTTGCTCTTAGAAAAGATCACTAGAAAACAATTTATTTTTTACATAATGCACTCTTGCTTCTAACCAACGGTAATATGAAAAACTCACATTCAAGCAATAAACAACTGCTTACTGTAAAGAATGTTACCTCAAGGAATCTACAAATGAGCCAGGATGTTTTGAAGTACCAATTTATTAGCTAAAAATTGTAAGGGCGCAGAGGAATTTGTTAACATTTGGTACTGTAATTTCCATAAATATTTCTCATCCTGTATGCTACTGGTGTACACTTCAGAACTAATAATAGCTCTCTCCAATTAGATATTTTGCAGACATAAAGTACCTGGGGAGCAAAACAGATTTATTGTGTAACACCAGGATTATATTGCTTTTGTAGTCTTATGCACATTGGAACAACGGGCATATCGAAAGAAATCAAGCAAGAACGTAGAGTCAGAAAAGTGTAATCTGTGCTTTTGAATTCAAAACTATTACCTTTACCCTAATTCCTCCAGTTTTACTTTAAACATATCTACCTGGAACATTGCTATCTGGGTAGGAGAAGCTTATTAAAAAGTATTTTATTATCTTTTTTTTTTAAATTCAGTATTCAAATTCATTGCTACCCCTGACTCTATGTGAAAGAAAGGGTGATGGCTGGACCCTGCACATTTGCATGGCTTTGCAGTGGTAGTGAAATGTATTAATTTTGTCTGGCGAGTAGTTGTCAACATGCATGCACAGTTTCCATCTTTTAAACATTTCAGCCCAATAAAAATGCTCATGTGTCAGGAATTATTCTCAGGTCCACAGGCAGAGATGACACTCTCCTGTTCTTCTCCCCAAAGAGAATGGCTTCTTTATTAAACTGACCAAGCTCGAATTAGCTTCTGGGTAGATCTTTAGACTACTTCACTTCGCTCAGGAATAAAAAGGATGTGGAAAACTGTTTCGCAGCACCACCTCGTGGTATTGACTTATTATTGGTGTAGCCCTTGGAAGCATCCCAGCTGTGTTGTACAGGTAAGAACAGAATAGTAGCAGGGCACTGGAAGGAAGCAGTGCAGAGTTTTATCACTGTTCATAGCAGTGCCTTTTCATGGGGAAATGGGAGAACAGACTAGGCATTTGAGGCTTTGCACTGAATGTGCCGTGAAACCACAAAGCTTCCTTCTGATTTGAAATGCATTTGCAAACAGGGTGTCAAATGTTATTCTTTATGAAAATGTAGATGTTTCAACATGATAAAGAAATTCTGATCAAGAAGGGCGTGACGTTTTTAGAGAAGTACAATCTGGAGTCTTTCAGCACCTTGGGGTGGGGGGGATACACAATAAGCAACATAAGCACCTGTGAATTATATATGAGGTTTTCCTTTGGCATCTAAAATGCCAGAGCATGAGAACAATAGACTAGAACCAAAAATACAGAAACTTCATTTTCTCTCAGAGAAAGTTTGTTTTAAGGCAAACTACTATGAGGGGAAAAAAAAAAAAAAACTTGTAACAATAAGCCCAAATAAGTATGCATCTGTTAAGTTAATATACTGGTACCTAACCTTAAATAAAGTACAAGGCTTTAGTTAAACTTCAGCCACCGGGAAAATTCTAAGTCAAACATTTTGTTGTTATTGTTGTTGTTATTTTAAATTAAATTTCTTCTTAACTTTTTTTCTGGCAAATATATTCATAAAAATGAATTATTTACAAAAAAGTTGAAAACCCCCTCATAAACAATCCTATAAGATTTCCATATGATGTGTAAGGAAAGGTCAGTACCAAAAAAAAAAAAATCAAAACCTGCAGGAGTCAGAAATACTACGGAGGAGGATTTGTGACCTGCTTCTGCAAGGGAATGAGGCTCCCAGCACCTAAGGGAGGGAGGCAGCCTCCTCTGCCCAGTCAGCATACCCTTACTGTCATCTGCTCTTCTCCCTTCCTGTTCCCACCACTGAAAATTTCCAGCTTTGCCTTTCTTAGAAAGCTTCTTTTCCTTTCTTAGAAAGTAAAGAAGATGATCATGACATTTCTTCTGATTTATCCAACATCTCTACAGATTTGGTTGACTGGGAATAAATTAATCTGTGCTGCCCAAGGGAGTTTACAATAAGCATGACCTAACCATGGGCACTCTGGGGAACTCTATCATCTCTTCATGCTCTTCCAGTTGTCCTGAAATAATTATAACTCACTGTATGAAAAAGAGAACAAGAGAAATAATGAATACACAGAGTCCAGAGTACCAGTCTCTGCTCCAGTTAAATCTTAATTCAAAATACTTATTCCTCTTATCTCTCTATTCCAGGTAAACATCTCCCAAATCAACTGAGAGCCATTCTTTTTCTTTCATTATTTGTCCCAAACCAGACATAGTGAGTTTTGTGCAGCTCAGAGCAGTTGAGATTGCAGCATGTCACTGGTTATGAGACAAAGCTGTTAGTCATAAAACTACCAGAATTTCAAGGATTTCCATTCTGTCATTGTATCTGCAAAGTCTGAATGTATGAATACATACCCAGGCTTTGTCCAAAGTGATAAATACTACACTTCCTAACTGTGGCATCAGGTTTCTCATGGATTAGAAAGGTAATAGATCAACAGAGAGCAGTTGTTTGCCTTCCTGCAAAATAATTTAAAATATTTTATTTGCAATTAATTCCCATTTGAGTAAGGACCTATATGTCAGAAAAATATATGAACTACTTTAAAAGTTGTTTCATTGTTGCAGATCATACCTGTAAACTCAATAAGTTGTTCCTATGGCTTAGCTACAAATTGATGTCTTATTACTATTGTAGTTTTTCTCTAATTTTCTTTTTCTTCTATTTTTTTTTCATTTTGTTGATATTCATAAACTGATGACATGATAAGCTTCTAATCTTTCCCTTGCTAAAGAAAATCTCTCCCCTTCACCCCAAATCTCTCCCTCAATGTGCTCATTTTCTGAGTTTAAAGTTGTCGTTCTGCTGTTTTGAATCTTCTGGATAATGACTATATTGTAAAAACGTGAAAAGGGCATAATGCTCCTTGCACCAAATCAAGATAGTATCTCGTCTCCTTCTGTTCTTCTTGTAACTAATGTTAGTATGTCTAAGGACTGCATTGGCTACTTCTTCACATTCTTTCTTGAAAGCTTGTCTCTGTTTTATTTTCCACAGTGACCCACATTCATCTCTCCCCACCCCCTAGCATGCTTCCCAAAGATTCTCCTTCCTGAGACAGATGCCTCCACCATCTAAATATGACCTACAGTCCATGTTCTGGGTTAGACGTCTCTACTTTTTCCTGGTTTACTTGGACTTATCTTCACAGAGTACACTGACTGACACTTTGCTTCCCTCCTGTGCCTACAGAGTAGAAAGCGTGCTGATCCTTCCTGCTGGAGCAGTCACCACTTCAGCTGCCTATTGCTTCCCTCTTTCCAGAGGTTACTTTTCTCACAGATGTGCCAGTGATATGCATATTATTTACCTCTCTAACCTGGTTTTGCCAGACTGACACAGATTCATATAATTTCATTTAATGGTAAACTTTTTTAGCCCCAATCTTTTGACAAGAACCAGGGAGCAGTGAGCTCCAGTATAAGTGCTTGGGGCAGCTAAAAGCAACTAGGCTGGCTACGTTGTGGGCATGAAAAGGCAGCTGGTGGCAATTTGAGAAACTCTCTTTTCCAGAGCTATAAAGGGGTATATCACTAAGGAATATAGCCTTGAGACTTCTGCTTGTCTTTGGATGTAAAGCATTTGGTGTTTCCCAACTGACTTTTTTTTCATAGCAGCCTTTCTCATGTGTCAACTCTACTGAAACAGTTTGTGTTTCTCATACTCCTATGTGAGCTGCACTTCTCTGAGTGGGTATAGAGGGATCATATGTTTTTTAAAGGCAATTCAAAATGTTTGGGTAAGATTTTTTCCTACAGAAGCTGAGATGGTAATCCGAATCAAATCATCTGAGACGTGTCTTTTGAAGTGGGAGAAATCAGGAATGTTTCAGCAAAAATAAATTCCAAACAATATTAAATATTTTTGCCAAAATTGCATTAAAGTGTGAAAAGCAGTTCTGAGAATAATCTGTCAGCACTATAGTGCTGCAATGTCCTAGCTTCAGGAGTACTCAAATCATGTACTTATTGCATATAAACTATGAAAATTCACTACCAAAAATAAATAAATAAAAATGGAATAACTCTATCGGTTGAGCCAAAACATGCATTCGCACACTCCTGTGAAGAGGAATTAAAAAAATGTTTAGGTCACTACCTTAGCTTATCACAACCAGAAACAGATGCCATAATTTGAAAAGCCTGAGTCAGATCTGCCCAGTCATCTCTGGTTTAGTATAATTCAGCAACTCTGTCACAGTTCTTTGACAACTATTTTGATGTTAGACAGATATGGTTATTTCTCTCTGCTCTTCATTCTGATTTCTTATGAAGAAATCCCTGATATTTCAGGGAGGTTTAAAACTGCATAGATATAAGTGCTGTGAAACAGAGTAGATGGTGAAATAAGCATCATATTTTCCTTTATATTTAAAATACATTCACAGAGAGTGTTTGTTGTTTCATTTGTTTGTTTGTATGTTTGTTTCTCCAAGGTAAATATTGTGCTGGGGTTTTTGTTTGTGTGTTTGGTTTTGTTTTTTATATATAAATATTAACATTCTGTGCAAGCGTTCAGCAATGGGCACAGCCTTGGGCCACACGTTGGGAGCAAGGCACTGCTTCTTCTTGTCGTGCCGAAGATGACTCTGCCAGACCGCAAACCAAGGAGCACAGCACGAGAGGTGAGTTCCCAGCCTGGAGAGGGTCACAGTGCGGCAGGGTGCAGCGGGAGCGGGGTGTGCTGGGGGACACTGCAGCCCCTGGGGCACATGGCGGGGAAGGTGCCACAGCATGAGCAGGGGGAGATACAGGGATGGAGAGGGGTGGGGAGGTGAAGGAAGGTGCCCCGGGGAGGCTCACAGTGGCACGGCCACGGTGTGGGGGCTTCCAGACCAAGGTTGCTACTGTTTCCTAAACTTGGAAGGATTTTTTTCTTTTTCCTTTATAATTAAAATCAACCAATCAATCCAACTCTGTCTTTAGGGAAAAGATGTGTGTGCTTTTAGGAATCGTTAGAAGTTAGTTGTCTAGGAGAGCGGCGAAAATCAGTGTCTCTCTAAACATAAGCTTGTCCTGGAGAACAAGATGCTCTTATACTATTTAAGTCAAAGTGCTTAGGATGATGGTTTTACAAAGAAGAATAGAGTAAGATAAAGAAAATATTTATGAGATGTGAAGGATATATTCAGGAGTTCAGCTTTTTAAAGGAATTATAATTTACCATTCCTTTCTACTCATTGGAACAAGTCAGCATGACTTTTTCTGTTGGTCATTTATTGCCTATTTACTGAAGAAGAAGCAAATTTTTTACAAAATAAAACAAGTCAAAAAAAATAAATAAATGTAGAAAGTTTTTGCAAAGGCCATTGTGCAACATAACTGCATTCAAATCAGGATTAAAAATCAAATGGGGTTATTATGCTTAAATATTTTTTCTTCTGTCATGTTGCCTTATTTTGTGTGCATTTTGATATCAGACTCACATGAAGTCAAGTAATATTGTGCGAAGAAAAACATCTTCCCTTAATAGTTTAACCCAGGTTAATTTATCAGAACTAGAGAAGTAAACATCTGGTTTGTAATGCCTACCTATTAATTAGGGATTTATCGAAAAATTATATGGAATCATTTCTTCTGTTGAATTTATATTGGTATTACATAGAAATCTCCAAGCATCTTTTGCTGGTATGTCGGTAAAATTCTGTGATTAAATGAAAATGTCATATACCAAGCAACATTTTCTAATCAGTGCATTCCTCTCCACCTCCCTGCCCACCCCCCACCCCTCAATAAATAAATAAATAAATAAATAAATAAAGGGATCCATCAAAAAAAGATAAAGATGTTTGTCCACAGCAAAGAAGCTTGCTACTCCAAGTGGGTGGGCAGTATACTGCATGAGCAGCCAAGCAGAGACAAAAGAAATGCATTGTACAGGAGAGACATCCAGAATGCTTTCCTACCACTTTCCTAGTGGTAGGTAATGTACCACACACACAAAGACCAAGGAAGATTACATTTGATAAGGAAATGTGATATCACTTAGCTAGGATCTGAATTTGCATCTTTCAGTTTCCTTATGTGAATAAAAAAATAAATTGGAGCTATATGTGTGATGCTGGGGAACAGGGGAATGTAGAAGTAGCAATTCTCCTGGCTCTGTGACCATCTCAGTGGGTTAAAATGGCAGGGTATTCCCAAGCTGGTCAGAGATTTTTTCTACCATCTGATTTGATCGGTGCCCAGTTCATTGCTCATTCGTAAACTCTGTACTATGACCAGGTAATAGGTAGTATGCAGTTTCCAGTCATACCTAAACAGTTTACACAGATTTTTATATGTGCTGCTTCATACATTTAGCCTCAGCAGTTAAATGTAAGCAGTAATATTTACCTTCCATTTCCAGCCTTGGTCTTGTCATCATGGTACAGATGTGCTTACTGGATGAAGCACATACCAATGTATGCTCAGGAAGGACCTGTCTCAACTATGCTTTACAAAACTGCAACAGATATGGTCCTAATTTCTTCTTTCAGTTCTTGGTCCAAGTAGGTAAGTCTCTGTGTAATTACTTTCCTTCTCCTTTGTTCTTCATTTGAACAAAACTACCCACACCTAACCCATTCCTGATTATGAACAATCTCATGCTTTTTCTTATTTTTCTTCACAGAAATAAGAAAAATTACATCACTTACAAGAATGGCACTGTTGATAAACAGGTAAACTGACATTTCTCTCATGCCTGTACCAGCAAGTTAACTTGACCCATCCCACCCTCACAGCTGTTAATTACTTTACTTGCTTAAACTATAACTTGTTGCCATGTAATGTAGGGCATGTTGCTCACATCAGAGGTTACAAAAATTCAGGGGAAGCATGGGCAAGACAGACAAACATAGTAGCATCCCAACATCACCAGAGTCCTACCATACCCATTAAAATTGGCTTATAATACAAGACAACAGTTTTACTTAGGTGGGAGATTAGACACCTGACAGTGCTCAGAGCATACTTAATTTAAATAATTCATAGGCAGATTTTTTTAAGAATCTTTAACAATGAAATCTTCACAAATGCCAGAGGAAGCATATGAAAAGAAGCAAAGAAGGTGTTTCAATATTTTAGAAGTAAAGAATGAAATTCTGTCTAATCAGAGTAGGATGAATAGCTTATTTCAGTGCAAATGACAGCCATTTCCTTGGAAAAAAAAAAAACTCTGAAAAATAACCAGCTAAATTTTCTCCACCTTTGTTGCCACATCAACAAAAAGGAAAAGATATTTTTTAGCCATTGTAAAGTCAGAGTTTAGAGATCTCATCTTGAAAACAATGCAGTAAAGATCATCAGAATCCTCACTTGCTTCCTTGTGCAGCTTTCTGGGCTGATTCAGAAACCTGACATATTTCTGGATTTCACAAATTCATATGTATCTGCTTTAAACAAGTTTGCATAAATTTCAAATTTCTGCTCTTGAATTATGGTCTTCAGACTTGTCAGTTAAGGGCTCTTTCATTTTTCCAAAACTGCTCCTTCCTTTCTATTTACTTTGCTCTCTTTTAAGTTTTGTTTTCTTTTGTACTGTACAAAATTTCTTTCCATGATAATAAAATGTATCTTATCTTCACAATGTTCTTATCTTCACAATGCTAAGCCTACAGGTTTTGCTTTTATGGTTGAACTTAGGTGTGCTGTTTTCCTTACTGACTCAGATTTTTCATGGTAATAGCATGTCAGAGGAAGTATGGATACAGAGAACATATATTAAAACTTGAAGTTTCAGGGCTTAACTTTTAGTTTTTAAATTCTGTCACTAAAAATAAATAAATAAATATATGATGTTGCTCTTTTGAATAATCTCTCAGGGTTAATGTTAATTAAATTAGGAGGCTTTTTTCTACTTTTCCACTGAAATCTGAAATGTAATGTCTTGTTGGGGGCAAATACTAAGACAATGTTCTTTAATAAATCAATTGACATAGTTATAAAGTAAGAAGGGTTTGTTAGCTTGGAAGTTGCTCTGTTACATCTGAAGCTCTATTTATTAATGTAAATGGTTATTCTTTTTCCAATTCTTTCATGAAGTGCTGATCTTACATTTTAAAACACAAAGAAATATGATTTTTTATTTGCTGAAAAACTCATCTCTTTTTATAAACAAAATAGCATTCATTTAATTTGTAGAAGCTAACTACATTTTTTTCAGCCCAGTGTAGCTTTTTGTTCACAAAATTCCACCAGATTAATCCATTATTAGGAATGGGAGGTTTCACTAATAACCAATTTATTTTTTATCACTTTTTAATTCTTTTGATTTGAAAAATATATACTTTTCTACAATATATATATAACATTTTCTATAATATATATATAATATTCTACGGAATGGAATGGAATGGAATGGAATGGAATGGAATGGAATGGAATGGAATGGAAGGGACTTCAAGGATCATCTAGTTCCACCCCCTGCCATAGGCAGGGACACCACCCACTAGATCAAGTTGCTCAGGGTCTCATCTAACCTGGATTTGAACACCTCCAGGTACGGGGCATCCACAACCTCTCTGGGTATCTTGCTCCAGTGCCTCACCACCCTCTAAGTGAAAAATTTCCTCCTGACCTCTAATCTAAATCTCCCCTCTTTTAGTTTTAAACCATTCCCCTTAGTCCTATCATTATTTCTCTGAGTAAAGAGTCCTTCATCCTTTTTATAAGGCCCCTTTAAGTACTGAAATGCTGTGATGAGGTCACCCCAGTGCCTTCTCTTCTGTAGGCTGAACAGCCCCAGCTCTCTTAGCCTGTCTTTGTAGGTGAGGTACTCCAGCCCCTTGATCATCTTTGTGACCTTCCTCTGGCACCACTCTAACAGCTCCACATCCTTCTTGTGCTGGGGGCTCCAGACCTGGACACAGTACTCCAAGTGGGGCCTCATGAGGGCAGAGTAGAGGGGGACAGCCACTTCCCTTAACCTGCTGGCCACACTTCTTTTAATGCATCCCAGGATGCAGTTGACTTTCTGGGATGCAAGCACGCACTGCCAACTCATGTCGAGCTTTGATCCACCAGAACACCCAAGTCCTTCTAAGCAGGGCTGGTCTCAATAAGTTCTTCTCCTAGTCTGTACTCACATCTGGGATTTCCCCAGCTCAGGTGCAGCATCGTGCATTTAGACTTGTTGAACCTCATTAGGTTCACATGGACCCACTTCTCAAGCCTGTCCAGGTCCCTTTGGATGGCATCTCTTCCTCACTTACTGTAGTTCACTCTTACTGTTCACTCAACTTACTGTTGAGGTTTAACTTCAGCAGGCAGGTAAGTGTCACACAGCTGCTCACTCACTCTCCCCAGGTGGGACAGGGAAGGGAATCAAAAAGGTAAAAGTGCAATAACTCATAGGTTGAGGCAAGAATGTTTTACTAGATAAAGAAAAAGCTTCATGTGCAAGCTAAGCAAAACAAAGCATTAAATCACTATTAAGTGATGTCCAGGAAATCAGGGCTCATCCCATGGAATGGTTCCTTGGGAAGACAAATGCTATCACCCCAGTGCCCCCCCTTCCTCCTCCTTTCCCCCAGCTGTTACTGCTGAGCATGGCGCCACATGGTGTGGGACATCCTTGTGGCCATCCTGGCCAGCTGTCCTGGCTGTGTCCCCTCCCAGCTCCTGGGACACTCCCAGCCTCTTCACTGGCAGGGCAACACCAGGAGCAATAAAAGCCTGGGATCTGTGCAAACACTGCTCTGCAACAACTAAAACATTGGTGTGTCATCACCACTATTTTCATCAAAAATCCAAAACATGGCATTGTGTGAGCCTCTGTGAAGAAAATTAACTATCCCAGCCAAAACCATGACACTTACGAACTCCTTAGTGATGTATGACTTCAAGAACATTTCTGAAGATAAATTGTTGTCACTGGGGAAGTTGGCTTTATTTTATCTTCACCAACATGAATAACTGTTTTTGTGATCATATGCTTTTCACTCAGTCTTTATAAGCTACAAATGGTAGTCCTCCATTAAAAAAAAATGCTTTTCTGTATCCCAGATTTGCTGTGAAACATAAAGTCTGTAAAGTTCTTGGTGGTGGCCTCGACATTTAAATGCATTATACAAGTGTAAATGTTACCCCCCTGTTTGTACTAAGGGAACATGTTCTTGCAAGTCTCTTCTCTGTAAACAGGAGCCTACTTATTTTTAAATTAGTTTCAAAAACAATCTCTCCCTGCCTTTTACTTTCATTATTTTTTCCTACTTCTGGTAGCCTCCTCGACCTGATTTGGGCAAACAAATTAAGCCTCTAATACCCACAGCCTTTCTTGCACCTTGAACAGCAGAAACTCGTTGCCATTAATTTGATGCTATTAAAGAGCAGCAAGTCATTATACCATAAAGACTAAAATCTGGTAAAAGGGTTACTTTATTCTCAAAAACATAAGGGAATGTTATATTATAAAAAGGACTTTTTTTTTAGTTCAAGCTGCCATTTTGTTTACAGATGCTCTATTTACTGAAATAAAAATCAAACTTGCTACAGATACAAATTTGTCTTAAATTAGGATTAACAAATGCAGAAGAATGATCTGCTTCTCAATCTACTGTTTTTGTTGTTGTTTTGTGATTTTTTTGTGTTGTTTTGTTTTTTGAGACTGATTTTGTTTAGTACTTTATGGAAAGATGTATCTTATAGCTGAGAAAACCATAATATACACTTAGATAGTATACTTACATAAGGGTATTCAAAAGGTTATTCTATGAATTATTTGTTTTGCTACTGCAGAACCAAGTATTAATGTTGCTGAAGAATGAGTTAATTTCAGCCTCCCTGTCAGAATGCTACACCAGACTTCTTCAACAAGTCTTGGAATGGAAAGCATCATTACAAGGTGATCAGTGCTGCAGACAAATGTCCTTCCCTCTCTGATTGGGATTATCTGTTCAGCAGGCTTAGCTGGAAATATCCTCATTGTGTTCACAATAATAATGTATAGAACTGAGTACATTTGGTAAAATGACTTATTGCTGAACAAAATAAACAATGACCACACTAATGGAGTGAATTGCTGTGCAAAGACATGTATTTTAAAATAAATAAATAAATAAATAAATCGACTACAGACAGAACAGATGGAGGGAATATAGGCTCGTTTAGCCTTTTCTGTTATAAGAAAACACTTAAGTGCATGGTTGACTTCAAGAACATTCAAGGAAACTGAAATGCATGTCTTCTGTGGCTTTCGTTGTAGTTAACAGCAATCTTCTTACTGGCACCAGAAAAAGCTAGACAAAACTTTAAACTTCGGTTACAGTGCTAGCTACAATTTTTAAAGATTTTTTTTAAGACTGAAAACTGTACTTCTACCTCAGATTATTTCAATGAAAGATAGCCATGTACCTTTTGGCCATTTACTGCAGCTTCCTAGAACATAATACTTTTTTCCAGCATCTGGCTTCTGGAGACAAGGGCCTTAGTGCCAGTCAAGTATTCTCACATGCCAAGAATTCATACCTCAAAATATTTTTGATGTATTCTGAGAAGATAAAGTTGCTGAAGTTGCTAAAGATTTTTGGGTCATAAAATCTGACCCAAACATCCTTTATATGATTAAAAAAAAAAAATTTCTGGTCGCATAATTTTAAGAGGAGATTTTTTGTATATAATAAGTAATTGTCTTCCAACTGGCACATACAATCACAGACTCTACAGCCACAAGCATGAATCATGAAGAAGGGGCTATTATCTGCAATGAAATATTAACATAAAGAAATATGAGAGGATAAACTAATAAATGTCACACTCAGCAAGGGATGGACTCCAACGGATAGACTCCACCCTTATATAACAGGTTTTTAAAGGAAAGATTTCCTACGGCCAGCCTAGGACTGGGTGTCTGTCAGCCCCTGAGCTTTAGTAAATTTCCCTTGAAACTACCAAAAATCTGATGGTTGGTGCAGTTGAGAGTACTAAATTCATGATCTGAACACAGAAGAGAGCAAATATGGAAACAGTATGTCTGAAATGGACATAATCGCAATAGAATTTTTAAAATGCATGAATGAATAGAGAAGAAAAAAAAAATCATTGAGTTTCTAAAAAACAGTCTTTAAAATAATAGAATAGAAGGAAACTGAGAAAGAACAAAGATATTTTCCCCTGGTGAAAGGCCTTTGTCTAGCTTAAATACAAATATGAGAGACAGAGGGAATAGACACAGACAATGACTTAAAAAAAACTAATTTAAACCATATTTGCTCAATAAAATTGCAAGCATTCAAATTTATGGACATGAACATTTATACATAGAAAAAGACATTGAAAATAGTGCATTAAAAAGTTAATGTGGTAGTTACCAGCAGTTAAAAGGACAACCACAAACCTCATACTCTGTAGATGAATATATATTTGAAATGCAACTGCAGTTTGAAAAATAACTGTGTCAAATTCCCACCTTCCATCATGCAGGTTTGATTCTACTCAATGACTCTGCTTCAGAGATGTCTCTTTTTTCTTTATTGAGCATACTTTTTCATGTATATATTTCAAGTTTTTTAGCATTATAGAGTCAGCACTTCTAAGAGAGAAATAAACTAAATTCTTTCTCTAGTTAACAAGTTATTTACTTACCAGTAAGAAATCATAGAATCATTAAGGTTGGAAAAGACTTCCATGATCATCTGGTCCAACCATCCCCCCACCACCAATATTACCCACTAAACCATGTCCCTAAGTACCACATCCAACCTTTCCTTAAACAGCCCCCAGGGACAGTAAGTCCACCACCTCCCTGAGCAACCCATTCCAGTGCCTAACTAATGCTTTACTGATGGAGGTATGTGAAAAAGAATGAACTTTGGAAATTCAGCTCCCCAGTTTGCAGGTCCACTAGCCAGTGACAAGCATTTTAAAGTGTGAATTAAAATGATATTATCTGCAATTTACTGTGAGAGAGTAACTAAAAGATATAACAAACCTTGCATGTAATATATGCCTGTGCACTGATATCTAATTTAAAAATTAATTCAATGACTGGCCCTCCATGTGTGAATTAATTTAATCCCTAGAGAATAATAGAGGGAGTTGAGATATGTTGCTATTAAATTAAAAAGAAAATGGTGGAGAAAACATGGGAAGAGTTCAGTGTCAGCCAGTAGGCTATGATAAACTTCATCCCAGCAACCTACAAATATTGGCCTCCCAAACTGCAGTTCTGCTAGCAAGTCTTTTATATAAATCTACTGACTTTGGCAGACCAGCTGCTGGGAGAATAGCTATGGTTTTGTTTGGAGGGTGGAATGGGATCCAGACAAACCCAATCATCCACATTAGTCTAACTTTAAATTTTGAGGAAATAGTCTCTTGCAGAAGAAAAAAGGGATTCAAATACAATTTGAATTACCTATAAATAAAACTTTTCAGATTAACTTGATTTTTAATAACATATCTAACACCATTTCTTAAAATAACATTTCCTGAAATAGAGATTGCAAATAAGTCTTACAGCACTTATTACTTGCATTCTGAGTCTTCAGTTGGAGTTGTACGCACCACTGGAAGTAAAGTAATGACCAGAAAACTTATGAAAGTGCTACAGCATGACTAATCTACTCAGATCAGAGATTTTGTTATCAGATGTTATATATTATCATGCTGAAAAATATTGATTTGGCTAAAGAAAAATCCAAAGAGTTCAAGAATTACAAGATGAGAAAAAAAAAAAAGTTAATGTATGGATGGTACTTCAAGATGTTAATAAGAAACAAGTTTTCAGAAAAGATTTTCAGGGGAAATAACTTGGAACTTTCAGGGACTGATTGTAGGGCCAGTCAGATTTTTTATCTTCCCTCAGAGATCTGGAGTAAAGTGTATGGTTGTGTCAACGGTATTTCTAATGGCATACTCTGGAGATTTGGCTGATGTTATGGAGTTTAAGACTGTCATAAAGAAAGAATGAGATAAAGAATAAAACAGGGATGAAAGCAAAACAACTACTGCAATGTTTAATAGCACAAAGCCACAGAATTTTATTTTTCTTTTATAATAAGTAGGAAGCACTGCTGTCACTTGGAAAACAACAGATGAAAAACTCCTGGGATTGCTGTGGGCTGTCAGTAGGCTAAAGCTGCATGAGAGGCACACACAGATGTAATGTATGTAATATAAAGGCTCTGCCTTTCCGGAGGGAAAAGGGAGCTGCTAATGCCATTCTTCAGGCTCACAACAAGGCCTGAAATACAATTCTCACCAGCTGTTTCCAGGAAAGAGAAGCCTAGTCTGGAAAAGAACAGAAAAGAACAATTGCTACAACCAGAAGGAAGAAGAATTAAGAAAATTCAGCTAAGTTTGTTTTAAAAATAAAAATAAGTCTCAGAGGTGTATGCTTGTTCTCTGTAAATCAGGACCAAATACACCAAAAGGCTTTAAACTGAAGGCCAAGACTGGTAGAAGGGCTATTGTGCAGACTGATAACTGGAAGGCAATTTCTACTCTCCAGAGCAGTGTTGTCCTGTGACTGCCTTCAGTAGGATTAGTGGAAGTTAAAAACATCATTTCTACAATGAAACTACTTTGTTATGAGAGGGTCTGTTAGAATTTGGTTGCCTGCAACAGTGGATAACGCTGTGCTGTGACAAGGGCTATCTCTTCCAATCTTAGGTTCTTAGTTTTCCTAAATCAGGAAAAAAAAAAAAAAAAAAAAGTTAAACAAAAGTTAAACTCGGCACCCTACAACATGCCCCACATGCTCTGTTCTTTTGCCTAGCTGAGATAGAAAAGCTAAGAGTCTCTGTAATGAAACAGTACGCTGACAATTTACTCTAATTTTTGTGATTCTATTTGTTTCAGAAATAAAATATACCTATTTTTAAAAGTAATGCTAGAAATATGGGACTTCCCATGATGACACTGGCACAGTAACTCATAAATGTCTTTAAGTGATGTTATCTGGCTTGACTATGAGATTCAGTTAAGCAGTAATATATTTTTGGACTAAAAATCTTGGACAAACATATAGCTATTGTTAATCTTTGATACAACAGATTAGATAGCTGAATTTGTTGTCAGGTATGGTTGAATGAGAGAAGGCATGGAGTCAAACATGTAGAATAGAAAGGCTGTCATTTCTGTGTACAGTTTTTTATAATGGATACGGAGTAAGATTCAGTCTTACAAAAATTTATAGGCCTTATGCAACTGTTCAATGTGAATGATTTTTTTTCAGCATAACTTTGACTGACCAAGCCAGTCATCTGGGTCTCCATGGAGAGGTACTACTGAGGGTAATTCATATCATATTTGTCATATACCTTAGATAGACATATACCTGTCTTAGATAGGAAAAGTTACCCCCTGAGTACTGTTTCTCTGCAGCACTCATAGTGCTATAAAAGCTGCTGCTTTTGGACTTGCTGTTTTCAGGGCCCAAGGGTCTAGATAAACTCCAAGCTTGAGAGCACAAGGGAAGTGATTGACCTCACTGCTGGAAACTCAAAAACACTTCCAGCTCGAGCTGGTTAGATGGAAACACTCAGATTTTGTAGTGTAGGGAGGACAGAAGAATGACCTTACGGCTGGTGCTACCTGCTGTTGTAGCACATGACATGTTCACTCTTCCTGTTTGAAGAAAGGGTATTTGCTTGTGTTTGTAGATGTGTGATATTTGTAAACCATCTTGTCTTTGACCTGGAAGATCACTTGTAAATTAACACTTAAGCTTCTAGTTAGTGAAGAATCTGTGTCCAGGAGGAGATAAATAAATATTGATGACAATACATAATGAAGTTGGAGGGGATAAATAATGACTGATGACAACATATAATGCACTTATTATGTTCTTCAAAGCTGTGGCTGGAGTCACAGCCAGCGCACAGATTATCACAGTGTTGTGTCTGCTCAACATTTCTTTTTGTATTTGATTGGGATCATTCAAATCTATTTTTAATTAGTTTAATCTGTAGAAGAAGAATTAAAGAGAGAATAGGACTAGCTACAGATTTGACATATTCACAGATTTTTCTGAACAGCAGCTATGGTTTTGTACATTTTTTATAGGTAGATACTTGGATGTTTCAGAGATGCAAATTATTCTTCTTTGGGTGGAAAAAAAGAATTGTCCAGTTAATATGGCTTGAGAAACTGATGAGAAGCTTTCAAGCTTGTGGTAAGACAGAAGAAATTACTGAAAGAATGAAAATTTTGAAACGGAGGCTATAGCTATTATATGACTGGTTGATTTTTTGTCTGTTTGTTGGTTTTGTGTTGTTTTGTTTTTGTAAAGGGACTGTTTTTGGCAGAACACAAGCACCCCTGCCTTAATAAATTGTAAAGCTGTTCTAAAGTACAAAATGTAGCCAAAACGATTTGATGTTATAAAGTTTACTGTGTGGGTTACCATTTAAATATCGTGGCTTCTACAAAATGTCTATGTCTGTACAGGGAACTATACAAAAATCTGTAAGAAAGCCCTATGCCCTATACAGGAATAGTTTTCCAAACCTCAGTGTAAAGCACGGAAGAGTGGGTATTGCAACATTTCCCATCACATTATCCATGGAACTGCTGAGGTAGCAATTTTACTTACCCTCAGTTGTGATCTCATTTCTTGGGCAGTTCCATTTGGATGTCTCAGTTAAACACAAAACACCTAGGAAATATTTCAGCCAAATTTAATGTGTATTCAAAAACATCTCCCATGTCCATCCCTTGTACTCCCTTTGGCAGAAGTTTGGTAGCTTTAAGCTGTGTACCAAATATTCTTTGTTGATTAAATTTAACATAAAGTCTGAGAGCATGGAATTTGAAGTTGTTGTTTAGAGTTCAAAAGTTTTTTCTCATTTTGTATGATTTACCCTATTAATATGAATTAAATGGCATGTTCATGCAGTTTTCAGATGCTCTGAAAATTATGTGTTTGAACATAATGGTACCATTTGATGTCTTACAGGAAACACAGTTTGGGGCTTTGCTTTTCCTGGAGATTTTACATCCTTCAATTTTCAAAAAGCTGTAGGCATTAGAGGAAAAAGATCACATATGCGTCATTCTCTCCACAAGTTCTAGTCGTCAGTGCCAACAGATATACTTTATAGATGTCTGGCTTTGGTTTCAGCATCATAACCAGATGGCAGTGAATCATGCTTTATAATTTATTTAAAAGGTTAGAAATAAATACTTTTGTCTGGCTCCTTCCCTCTTGCTTAAATTTCTGTCTTTAGAAATGTAGTTATTTCAGAGTTTATAACATGCAATGAAGGTAACATAAAAAATATGAAATGATGAACTCTTCTCACATGGTTCCTTTTAGGAAATGATGGTCATAGAGAATGCAGTATGTGGGCAGCCAGGAGGAGTTCTCCTGGCTGCAGATCCTTCTGTGTCTTTCAGTGAAAGTGACAAGCAAACTAGTACTTTGGAACAGGTTGAAAAACAAGCAAACAAAAAATAGCAAATGGATTAGAGATACTGAGAGGGAGTCCAGGCAAATAACAGGCTACATGTAGATATCTAATATGTAAATGAAGTTAGATAAGGTGATTCCTGTATGAAACTACATAGGAAACTATAGCATTCCTATATGGACACTGTGAGTAAGGACATTTTACATAAAGTTCTGTGAATAAAAATATTTTATAAATATTGATGCTTTTAAAAAATGCTTTGTGTCTCTTCCCTTGATTTGTATAGAATACGGTAATTTAAAGTCAGGAGCTCTTTTAACTGCCTGTGTAACATTCCTTTAAGCCTAAATTTGAGGGTATATTAAGATAAAGATTAGAGTTTGGGAAATGAATCTAGGAAAGCACATATTTCACACAAAAACTATATAATAAATACATTATGAAACTGGTAAAAATAGACTCAGTACTTAGGTGAAGACTGTGCATACAGTTTTAATTCAGTTGTGTTCCTTACGTAGGTGTAAACTTTATGAGACTGTCCTTAAATATTTGACTGCATATTATTTTTTTCTTGGAGGACCCTTCCTCTTTTAGCAGTACCTGTTTTACCTCAAGCACTCAAGAATGTTCTGACTGCATTTTTTAGTGATTCAACCCTGGATTAACTGCATCAACAGATTACCTGCTCTTTCTTCCTATTTATGTTAGTTTCTATCTCCATAACACCTTTCTTTCTTTTGATCTCTTTATAATTTTGAAAGGAGAAAAGGAGAAAAGGGATTACTGTTAATAAATTAAATAGCCCTTTAAACTTCACTGGAAACCAAAGCTATGAACAATCTACATATTATATATATATGTATTTTAAGCCTAAAATGTTTATTATGAAATATCTTTGGTTTGACAGATGTCCCCTGACTTTAAAATACTTTTTCCAGCAGTGTATTCACCTATGTTCAGATCAGTTTTAAGGTCCATTCTATCAGCAGCATACTTGGGAAACAATACAGTAACTATGTCAAGGAATCGTCTTCATGACCCCCAATTTATCGCAGAACTCAGAAGAAAACTGAGGAAAAAAAAAAAAACAAACAAAACAAAAAAAAAAAAAAAAAAAAAAAAAAAACAGATATCTGCATCTGCAATCTGGCTATAGCAGATTTAGTTCATATAATTGGCATGGTCTTCCTCATTCACCAATGGGCACATGGAGTCGAGTGGGTGTTTGGCAGCCTTCTTGGTACCATCATTACCTCCCTGGACACATGCAACCAGCTTACATGCAGTGCCATTATGACTGCAACGAGTTTGGACAGGTATGTGCTTTCAGATTTTCATTCTATACCTTTAATTCAAGGACAATAATACCTGTGTTTATGCAAATCTGTAGTAATTTGAGAAAGAGAAGTAATGCCGGTTACGGTTAATATTTTTTTTAATTGCATGTTTCCTTTTTTGGCGTTTGTGGAGGTGGAATAAATATTTTAATTCTTGCTATAGAATTAAAATTCTATGCTATGCACAAAGTTTTGCAAAATCCTGCTCAGTACCACTGTTACTGTTCTGTGGATTCTCTTTAGAGGTCCAACTTCTAGTAACGGCTTGATTTCACTGAAACTAGATTTATTTCAAACATTTCAGTGTAAGATTAAAAAAAATGGCTTCAAGGCAGCCTGCATAAAAGTACTGTATCTGTTATCTTTATTAAAATATAGTAAGAGTATAACAAGAATTTTAGCTTTGTTCATCACTTCAGATTTCAAAAACAGCTTCTCAGTGGTCTTGATCTTAAGGAAAAAATGGCCAGGATCAGGAAAGTAAAGTCTATTTTTGACCAAAGAGGTTATTTGTATGTGAGAGACCATGAAGAAGACAATCTTCCCTTCATAGCACAAGACAGTAGTCAATCATTTAAGAGGATATTCAATTGACAACTTTTGACTTGCGAGCCAGGATAAATGGGAAGGATGGTTGCTATTGAACCAGCAACATATAAGACAGAATGCTTACATGGAAATGGAATGTAGTCACTAGAGAGAGGGAGAAAAAATATTGTAAGACAGAGAGCAGAAGGTAGAAATTTGAAAGTTAAAAATAATTTTGAAATTGATAATATGTAGCTATTATACAGAAGCTAAACTAACGAACAATATCAGAAATATTATTTGGTTAACTTGCAGTTAAAAAAAAAGGCAAGAAATTATAATTTTGAAGTGCATTTCAGAAACTCTATTTTGTATTTGCATGTGAGTAATGTGATAGAAGACTGCCTTTTCTTATGTTTCTAAAGAATTTGCACATAATAGTAACTCTAGTCATTCTGTTGGGGAAAAAAAAAAATCTTTATGCAAAGGACAGGTAAGTATTAAGACAGGGAAAAGACATGGTCTCCTACTGAGAAAAGGCAAAATATCAAAACACAGTATAAAAGTTAGTTTATGTACCAAATAAAACCCAGCTCTTAAAAACTGACATTTTTTCCCCATATTCCTGTAAATACTGAGTGTAAGCCTGTGTTATTTTGAGCAAGTTTTTCCATCTCAATAATATTTGTTTAGGGAAGGCTCTTCAAATTATTTCTCTCCCAATCACTGCCAATACCCATTATGACAGTACTGCCGAGAGACAAAGGGTTTTCAGATAACTAGCTCCCAAATGGTTTAGTGCTTGATAAAAGCACCTCTGAATCCACCTGGAAGCTGTTATTAGGTGAAAAGATTAAACCATCTGTTTTGTAAAAAATCAGCAGAGTGTATCAGATTTTGTTTGACAGTAAAATCATCACAAATTCACAATAAAAGCAAGAAACATGATTATGCCTTAATAATGCTATAGCTAATGCATCATAAGACAGCTTCATGTTCTTTTTCACATTTCTCAAAAATTAAAGTACTTCTCAAGTAAGACAGAAGTGGGTCAGAACTGGGAAGGCACTTCCAAAAGAAGCTTGAGCTGAATAAAATGGCTACCACATGCAAATTAATATCTGTCATATTGCTGGATAATATTTTTATTCCCAAAATCCTCATCTTCATAACAGAAGAGAACTATGTCACGCACTCATCCAACAGAGACTTTACTATTTCAGCATTTCCTGTTGAAAATCGAATTTCTTTGTAAGATCTTAAGAAGTGCCAAAAACAGCTGTTCTCTCCATGGAGCTTTAAGGGTCATTTTATAAGGGGTGCAATGGATAAAATTTGCTTTTCATTACTCGCTTTGATATGAAAAAAAAAAAAAAAAAAAAAAAAAACCACTAAGGATAACTGTAAAAACTATGCAAGTTTTGCATGTATATTAAAATTTATGAGAAAGTTTCCAAAATAGACATCAAATGCATTTTTAATAGAGATTCATGTTTACGTCACAGGCAAACATCATGTAAATTAAACCTGAATAAAACCTTGTTATGAGAACATTTGTCTATCTGCTAAGAGAGAAATTCCTGAGAAGCAACTCACATCTTCTTTGCATGAGAACACATGTAGGCACATGTAGATAACAATCCCAATGTAATTTACTGTCATGTAGACCAAGAGAAAATCTGCTTAATATCATGATACAAATATGGCCTAAGAGAAATCAGGCTTGTGTACACTGCAGGCAGCATTTCTTATTTTCCAAATATTGATTTATGTTGAAGTCTAGTGAGAGAGGAGGGATGGGTGAAAATACGGTCCAACATTATGTCCTATACTGAAGGTGTTAACTGGAACATTCCAAGAAAGCCATTTGATATTCATCCAAAAGGGATTTAAATTACAATTAGTAATGTTAGTGTCTTTAAACTAGCAAAGGAATTTTTGATCTATGTCGTTTTGGAAAAAAAAAAAAAAAAAAAGAGCCAAGTCTTAAATCTCCAAAATAACTAATGCAATTTCAGAAGTCACATCATTCCTTATTCCTGCATGGCCCACAAGACATAGCTGATAAAACCCACCCTAGATTTTCTTTGTCTGGCAGGAGTCTGCGAAGCATATCTCATTTCCTATATCATGAATGCAGTGGAGCATATAACAGCAAAGTGCCCCTGCTCGGCTCTCTTTGTACAGGCTGCACTTCCTTCTGACTAGTTTTGCAAACTCGGGTTATAAGAAAAGGTGTAAACCTCTTGGTAGGGGTTCACTTGTCTGTGATCTCAAGCCTGAAAAAAAAAAAAAGAAAAAAAAAAAAAAAAAAACAGTTTGAAGATGCCCCTTCACTCTCATTGACAACTGTCTAGCAAAGGCTAAAGGGTGCCATATGGAGCTGATGAGAGCATTAACACTTAGCCTAGGAGATCAGTAGTCCTGGTTGCCTGTTGGTATTTTAATAGACAATAAATATTCTTTTTTTGTGAATATCCTACTTGTGAAGTGTCTCTGTGCATGGGAAATGTTCCCTGAGCAAAGATGCCTGGAGTTGAAGAGTTACATAGGGAATCAGTCAGTTTAGATAGCTGCATAAATATTTATTCAGCCAATTCTCTTAAGGTTTCAGATGTATAAATGGAGAGGTGAGGCTGGGAAGATAAATCTGGAGTAAGTAGCTCTGTGACAGCTGAGAAGAGGCAGGCAGGTGTTGCCAGTCTTTGCAGCAGCAGGCATGAGAAAATATGTTCCTGATTTGCCCATTGCTGTAATATTGCTCTAACAAATATTTACCAAGGCAGTATCACTGGTAGGGTGGGTTATATCTCTATAAAAGTCGTGGGCTTTCAGATATTTAAAACCAGAACCACTTGATTTGCCATGGACTAATCCATTTTTTCAGTCTTCACACTCATTTCTCCTTTGCTCCTTGCTTTACTTCACAGGCAGCCATAAACACCCCAGCCAGAAGAAAAAGTAAAAGACATTCGCTGCATCTTCTGGGAAGACTATCATTTGCCTTTGAGTGTGGTACACTTTGCTGCCTCTTGGAGCAGTCCAAATATTTTAAGCCAATGCATATAATGCATGATTAACATTAATTGGATTATTAATGTTAATTAGTTATATTAACAATAATATACAATACTGTGGCAATACGTAATAATGTTAGACCATGGGATGTCACATATAATAGGTTAAGATATCCAGAGGCAGGGAGAAAAGAAGTGAGGAAAAATCTAAGCTCTTAGATAGGTTTCCCTTCTTGTTGTATGTTCATGACGTTAAGTATGACCACATGTTTATGGACTTGCTAGAAATCAGACAAGATGGTGTGGAGCTAGCTACATTAACTAGAACCATATGGTCCCACAAAATATTTTCTCTTTCAGACTGTCATCTTGGGTTTCATGATCATACCATGTACCTTTGGTGATGGTTGATTTCATAGACCTTCCTCCAAGCAGCATTGTAACAGCAAGCTTGGCAGAAAGGCAAAAAGAATTCAGTAATAGTCATTGGTAACAGGTACCATGTATCTGGTGCCCTGCACCTTTCTGGAGCTCTGCAGGCTCCATCACTGCCTCCTTGTCCATCTCTGCATCAGAGACACAGCCCAGACACTCCTGTTATTGTTTGTTTCAGGTGAGTGCTCTTCAGTCTATTCTGAACAAAAGACCTTATTATTACTGATAATTACTTTGGCAGATGAGGGCCACGTGTGACTTTAAACTCCACTGTCTGTTTGAGGCAGAAATCACCCATATTTTCAGAACAGCATTTTTTCCCAAATGCACTTTTCACTTTTAATTTCACAAATTGATTTTATATCATCAGACAATAGGCAAGATTGAGAATTACTTCTAAACTGAAGCAGCCAATAAGAAATCTACCACTAAAAAAAAAAAAAAAAAAAAAAAAAAGACAAAAGCTGCTTGTGTTTGGTGTGATATTTATTTCTTATTGTTTGTGGAAGGGTATGATATTTCTCTTCATGAATCAGAATACTGACAGTCTGGAAAAAGTTTGAGTTCTATCAAGAAAAAGAATCATTTACATTTATCCTTATATTTACCTTTACCCTTGAATTTGTGGTGGTGTTTTCATTCCATTCTGTCTAATTATTTTCTTTTCATTTTTAAGGTCATTAAATAACTTTTTTTTTTCTTTTCCTCTGATGAATACTAATGATAAGAATTAGAAACCCAGAGAAAGACTACCTCTTTATAGTCACATATTGGTATGTTAAAATGTAGAGCAAAATAATTGATCCAGAAAATATGAAAAATCATCTTACAACATGTAGGGAAATACAAGTATAATACACACCAGATTTTAGTACCCTCACCTGCCTTTAGCATTTGTGAGAATCCTATGAAAACTCAACTGTAAACCCAGGAAGATGATGTCCACCCAGCATAAGGAACCAGAGCCAACAGACACATAGGCAGTGGCAAGCACCTCTCAAACCTGAAGACATGGATTCAGCACACATCCCAGGCCAAGAGGGTTCCTTTCTACATGCCATTTCTTTCCCTTATTGGTCTTCAATGACCCGATTAGTTTTCTTACTAACTTCGTTAGTTGAACTACTAGACTGCAGCCACATTGATCAACATGAGATGCATTCACTGCTGGCATGGCATGTTCTGCGCTGCACTGTGCCCTGATCCTTTGAGTAAAGGCAATACCTTCTATTAAGCCACATGTCACACGGTGCCTTAAGCGCAGGGGCCTTTTGCATTGCTAACAGCCCTCTCTGAAACTCTGTAGCCAGTTTTCCACTGGCAGCTCTGCGCCCAGTCATCCAAGCTGCTGCAGCAGCCTTTCCCAGAGCTTCTGGGGCAGCCCTTTCCCTTGTTCCCACGCTGTGGATCTTGGAGTTATCCTCCCGGCCATGCACCTGCAAACCCAACGGCATTGTTATAGTGGGTTCTCATGGGAAGCGACGGTCACCAGCGTGAGAATCCTCCCTTCTTCCCCCCCCTTTTCCTACCCCATGGTCAAAACTTCTGGTTGATATTAGTGGACCCAAAAATATGCATGCCCCAAGCTTAACAGCAAGGCAGCGTGCAATCTCAGCAGAGCATGCTCCCTGCAGCACCAACTGCATCATAGACAGAAACAACTTATAAGAAGTGGGTCCTGATAAAAACTATACTGATACTGTGGAAAAAGTATTATGAGGAGAACCACCCACTGCACTGGAGAAGATACCCAAGACGGATATTTGTCTGGAGACCCCCCATTGTATCTCTTCCCATTTTCCCACTGGCCAAAGTTTTCCCTTTCCATCCTCTCTCCTTTAATTTTTATCATCCCTAAAATTAACTATATGCCATCATCTACAGAACCTGTTAATAAATACTGATGTATTTTTGTTCACCTACCTCAAAAATCTTTGTGCAATACACAGTTCTTAATGAAAGAACAAATAACCAATATTTTTGTGGTTAGGTACATTGTGAGTTTAAGTAGAGTGAAACAAAATGGAAGCCTCACTGAAACCTTCCTGCTAAGAAGGAAAAAGATATGAAGGCATTAAGGAACTTTTGTATCATCCAGCTGAACACAACAGCTGAATTTCAGTCTCCCATGAATGGCAAGTAGTAGGCACATCTCAGAGGTGATTGATGGGTTGTAATATGGTGTCCTGTCACCTTTCATGCAGCTATCGGGAAGAGGGGGCCTGGTTAGCTGTAATTCTTACTCCACATCAGCTAGTAATGTCACTTCTCTGTGCTTGAAACCCCATATGTCCTATTTCCATCCTACATACTTTTATTTTCTCATAAATACTTTTAATTCATAGTTTATTCACTAATGGTTTTTGTATTATGCACTGGAACTTTCTTCATTATTGATATTTGGAAATATCTCCACTGCTGATTTTAAAAAAGGGTTGTATTCTTCCCTTATTTTCTCTGGAGATGCTGTTTGCTGCTCTTGAAAAATGAAAGCAAGCTCAAAGCATACATAGTACACCATGCTTATGCGGAGACTAAGAGGTCAAATTTTGTGCAAAGCAGGACTAATCATAAGTTTTAAAAACCTTATAAGCCTGTAAATTACCCTCAATTACACTGATCCTGTAAGCAGTATCAGTGTCAGAAGCTATTTCTATGAGGCAGCCAGTGAAACAGGAGAGTTGGTGTGCCAAGAATGATACAAATCAGTTCTTACATTGCTGATGCAGAGGATTTCTGAAAAGTTCTTTCTTAGTATCTTGTAGGTAGGTTGGTTTTTTTGGTGGTGGTGGTTTTGTTGTTCTTTGTGGATGTTGTGGGTGTTTGCTTGTTGTTGTTGTTGTTATTTTTTCTGTAGTTACAGAACTACAGTAAAACCAAGCTGTTCTTTATTACCATCATGACATAATAACAGCATGATGTTAGACATAGTTTTTAAGATGCCATACAGTAGAAATGCCTTTTGCTGATTCTAGCTATAATGGTCATTACTTTAACCTTATTTACTGAAAAGGACTTGGTTATTGCATTGCTTGAATAATGAAAAACAAACAAACAAACAAACAAACTATATTTCATACTCAACCAAGAATGAAAATAAATTCTTATCACAAGACATATTAATCTTTCTTAACCTTATGCAGTGGTTCTTAACCTTCATTGGCCCAAGAACTATAATACCAAGCAACTGAGGTTTACACCTCTTTTTCTTTCATGAAATACTTTTAATAAGGAATGATGTTATGCTGACTTTTATTCGTTCAATTGTTTGTTTCAACTGTTATTGACTGTCTCTTGCAGGCTTTTATTGTGTTTAGGTTTTATTTTTTTTCTGGATTTTTTTCACGATCTGTGAATAAGATAAGTAGTTCACTGATTGATAGAGTCATTTGCTGTGTTACTACCTATTTGTTTCAGAACACACCAAAAATATTAGATTCTGAAAAAAAAATAAAAGTCTTCAGCAAGAAAGTTGTACCTTCCTAATCTTCTTAAAGAGCTGAGAAAGAGTGCTGTGTGATTCCATGTGCAGACAATAACACTTTAGAACAAATGTGCCTCCTTACGCAGTGCCTGAAACCACCTTAACATTGCGATTACACTAGCTTTGACTGTTTTGTTTGTCAGACAGTCAATTTATTCTGCTCTACAAGCACTAAAAATCAATGAAAAACCACCTGTAATATTTTTCATATTCATGCTTGCATCTTGTAGGAAATTTAAATACTCTGCCATGCAGGATAAAATTTGGTAGAGAAACTGAATTGCCAATCATAAGAAAATAATTTCCAAGTATTGTTTAGATTCTTGATCATTTGCCTTTCTTATAACAGCTAGTAAATCACTCATTTTCAGTTACTTTCAGAAAAAATCAATTTCAAAAGAGTTCTGTGACTATGATTCAGAGCTTTCAGTCTTTTTAAAAGAAACTGAGCTTATCTACCTCCCACGTTTCATTACCACTATGTAAAACTCCTCTGGCCTTATGCATGTAAAAATGCATGTGTGATGTAGTTGAAAAGGAGATAATGAAATTTTTGATTCATTTTGTAGAGGCTCATCAAAAAATATTTTCTACCAAAAAGAATGCCCCAAATCTTCCTCTCCCCTTTTTTGTGTAAAACTTTGACATCCAGTAGTTTTCTTTCATTTAGCTGCATTGCTTGTTATTAACTGAAGAATTATGAATCAATAATGGGATGAAATAAGTTTTCTTCATAAATTGTGTCTCCCCCATTTCTCTTTGATGCTTTTGTTCCTTGCCCACCCACCAACTCCTCTTGGAAGAGATCGGGTTCTTCTGCCTGCACTTTCCCTGTTGCAGGGAGTGAGCTGGTGGATATGGGGCTGAGATGTCAGCCTCCAGTCTCCCACAGTCTGAGTGGTGGTAGGTAGAGATGCCATTAGGAGTACACCTCTCATCACATATCAGGTGGGACCATAACTGATCTTATTGCTGGCAGCAATGTGACAAGAATCAGCTCTTTGCTAGGGTCTCCTCCGTGAGACCCAGCTGATGAGAGCCATGTCCATTGGAGTTCAACTATGCAGCACCGAAATGAGGTCAGTTTGTGCTGGGTTCTGGGAGTCTCCTGTGATTATATCACCTCAAAGAGACTTCAGAACAATTCTGTACTTCTTCCCTTCTTGTTGCTTTGTGGAGTTCCATGAGCTTGAGAGCTACAAAGCAGTACCAAGACTCAGAGCAATGGACATTTTCAGCCTCTGTTGCGTACTCTCTGCACCCAGTACCTTCTGGATACAGCTAGACCCAGCATCCCAGATTCTGTGTTTGCAAAAGACAGAAAGAGAAAGGGGAAAAAAAAAAAAACATTGTTATGTTTCTTTACTTCTGCTGAATTTATTCTAAAGTGGTCTGACACTATTGTTTCCCAAAAAAGTTGTTAATCTGTACATCAGTCATGTTAGTCATAATACATCCCTCCCCTTAAGTCTCCTTTCTTTATTTTGGCTTTTGAATTGTTGCATTTAGTAATCTGCTTTCAGCTCAAAAATTGCTCACTATATCCACTTTGATCTGACATATTAAAGTTCACCCTAACATTTTACAAAATGTGAAGGTCGTGAAACAGAAGCTGAATTTGTTTTGTATCATAAGCTGTCACTATCTGAAGGTTACTTTTAAGGTACAGAAGTTTTCCAGTTGGACCTTCAGTTAGGTGGCAACTATTTAAAAAGGTAGAAAATATTTAAATTACTACTGTAACAGACTTGAGCAATCCAATAGCTCAAATATATCAGAAGGTAGTATAATTGTATTTGAAAATGTCTTGCATATATTAAATTATCTCCATTCCTTTTCAGAACTAACTTTGTCTTGGATTTTGTCTCTGTTTGCTTCTTGTATGAGTTTTTACATTATCTCCTACATTCTGATCTATTTTAATTTATTAAAAACTCTCATCATACTAATTAAAGAATGTTGTGATCAAGAGCATAATCAGTTATAACAACACTTGTAGAATGTTAAGTGAACTGCTTGAATAAATGCTATTCTAGAATGTAGTACTCAAAAACTTAAAAAAAATGCAGCTTCCTTCCCTTGTAATAGTTATTCTCTGAATTTATGTTTTGAGGTCCACAATATTAACCTAAATATTTTACTGTTTTTCTATTATATTGCTCTGTTACTTGATTTTACAGATACCTCACCCTTGTCCAGCCATTCCACCTAACCCACCTGCGAACAAGATCAAAGACATTTTGAATCAACTTTTGTTTATGGGTAGCATCACTTATTCTGGTGTTCCCCGTATGGGTCTACTCAAAAGCAATAAAGTTCAAAGATGGTTTAGAGAGTTGTGCTTTTGATCTGACCTGATGATGTTTTCTGTTAAGCCTTTTAAGCTTCTGGGACCATATCTTGCTGTTGCTGTTGCTCAACAGTTGCTGTTGAGTATACCACCCATTTTGTCTTTGATATCCCTGAGAGGTGGGTGGATGAATGGATGAATAGATGGACGGACAGACAGAAGGACAGATGGAATAGAATTAAAGGCCAAAGCTGATCCCAGTGTCATATTATTACAACTCAGATTTTATTGGTAGTATAGAGGCATCCCCATGCAATGGGGGCAAGACATGGTCAGCAAGACAGCTCCACATAGCAAAAGTAATTGTGCAGGATCTCTCCTTATCCTTTCTTCCAGTGTCTGGGTAACTGTTGTTCACAAATGGGATCTCTTTGCCCTTCCTTACTTGTCAGACTTTCATTTTTGAAAGATAAATCATGGAAGAATTTAAACATTCCTCAAATTGCATACAAAACTTTCCAGTGTCTCATGGCCAAGCAGAATCATGTTTTTTGTTGAATTCAAAACAGCTTGTTGAATGAAAACTAGCAAGGGACATAAAGGACAATTTTAGAAGCCTTTTTGGAACAGAAAGGAAACTTGGGGAGATACTGGGTATTTTTATATTAGCATGTTCATTTGGACCAGGAATGTATTTTTGGGGTGAGTCTCCCAATTGTATCTAATTACCATACTTGCGGTCACACTATTCATCAGTCTCAAAGCACATGATCTTTATTCTTTCCAGGTGAAATCAAACTGAAAAGAGAGATCCAGAAATTTGATGAATGGTACCAACGGTACACATTGAATGGTACCAATGGTACACAACAGTACCAACCACTGTTGTGTACTCAGTCCTCAATCCACAGGATCCAATTAGTGAAAATCCAAAGTTTAACTCCCCGACATGAGTATAATTTGCTAGGTCCTCAGCACCAAAAACTGCACTCCATAGATTTGCACTACTCAGTTGTACTACTAGCCAGTGTAGACAAATCCCGGGGGGGGGGGAGTAAAAAAGTGTTCAAGCCTCTTTTGCTCCAGCTCTTTCTTTCTTCTCCCCCTCCCCCAGCCCTGGATTTTTAATGGAATGAATTCTAACTTTGGAACACCAGAAAAAGAGGGAGGAAATATGTAGCAGTACAGCAGTACAGAAGGTAAAATATTTTACTGTCAGGAAAGCTTGATGCAATTCACTGCTGAAGATTTAAGGTATTAGTTAAAACACTGAAATATGAGCGATTATTTTCAAGAACTTGTGAAGGACATGAGACCCCCGATGGCCTGAAGAAATCAGATAAAATCAAAGGAAAACAGGGATGAAAGAATTTGGGGAATTCAGCCTACTCCATCCTCTCTCAGATGGCATGACCAATTGTCAGAGGTTTGTTTAATTCTGCTTCAGAAGTTTTAACACAGAAAAGTATAAAGATGAGTTAAAAGAGTCTCTGGTGGATAGATTAAAAAACATTGAACTTAAATTCAATATCCAGAAAGTTTAACAAGTTATTAAGCTGTCAATCTGTAAGGTGACAAAAAAAAAAAAAAAAAAAAAAAAAAAAAAAAAAAAGACAAAAAGACTATGTGCACTTGTCAGGACCATATTAAAACAAAAAGATATAATTTCCTTCTTTAATGGAAATCCTCCAGTTTATAAAGTAGAAATATAATCAAAATATCTTAAATTTTAATAAAATGACTGGAAAAAAAATAGGAAAGATGCTGTAGATTGATGCAAGAATGGTTGAAAACAATTAGTGCTACATCACCACTGGTTTACTATCAGGCTAGCAAAATACCAGGGGACTAAGAAGGTTGTGTCTTGCATGGAAGTTTGCAATAATTTTCATTACACGTGCTGAAAAAAACGCACACACATGCAGAATTTGGAAAGGTAAGGTGTATAATTTGTGGTTGCCTTGTTGTAGTTAACAGTATTTCTTGAACTGCTGGGAATAGATTTTATTCCTAAATGTACTTACAGTTCTGAATAACTGCTACTACCTAAAAACAGGTTCCACGTATCTCTAATAAAGAATCACAAAACAGAGATCACTTTATGAAAAACGTAATTTTATTTCTTTACATTTATGAAATTTTCTTCATGTAATCACATTGTTCTTTCTCTTTTCATTTTCTTTTACAGGTATACACTTCATCTTACTATAACAACTTTCTTTTTTCCTTTGCCACTTTATTTGCTACATTCTAATTTTATGTTACACATGGGATATGTATCAGCAGAACAAGAAAGCAGAAAGTTGAAGTGCTATTCATTGTTCTTCCTATTTCAGATTCTCTGCACAGGCTGTAAAGGTTTTGTAGGTTTCTAGCCTGTAACGGGCTAAAAGGAATAGCCCTAAAATGGCATGTGGGCACCGCACCATGCGACTTTCCATGCGACTTGATGTTGCATTATGTTCCCTATAAGGGATGAGATTCAGCTGAAGAAGCAAGATAACCCAGCTTGAAGGAAACTGATTAAAATTAGAAAATAAAATTATGGCAGAAGTCCTCAGTTTATCTGTGGAGAGCACAAAGGCATGGCTCAACCCTATACTTCTGGCTGCAGGAGGACATCTGCCCAACAAGGTCTCAAGACATGCTGAGAAGAAATGTCTTCCAAGTCTGGTAGCAGCCACCATACCCTGTGACCCCCAACCACATTTCACAAGGAGGCACAGGATGCCTGAGGAAGCCTAGGTAACACAACAAAATTGACAGATGAAACAAAGCTGAAATACAGTTTCCAGGCTCCTCGTCAGCAAATTTTGTTTCTAGGACTAAGTGTTTTGGATCTCAGCTTTACCAATTTCCCATGAAAAAGGTAATTCATTTACATTTTAGTGTGGTTTTTAATCCCTCAGGCAGGGGTATTGTTTGCTTCTCTTGTCCATCTCCTTAAGCTCCTAATAGTCAAGTTTTGAAAAATGTTGCAAAACTGTACAGCTTTCATGTTGAAAAAAAGCAAACATTTTAAATGAAGTAATTGTCAGTGTTTCATCAATTATACATAAACAATTCTGCTGTATTTGTGTGGCATAGCATCAAATTCAGCCTTGACAGAAAAAATAATGAGCACAAACAAACAAACAACAACAACAAAAGTCTTTGAGAACTGATCTTTGCTTGCACTGCAGGTGATTTTGGTCTCAAATAACTGCCATTCATCAGTATGTTCAATCCATGACATCATTTTCTCACTTTGAATTTCCATGCTTAGGATCCTTTTATTTTGCAGTTACAACATCAATATCCCCAGACAAAGAGTCATGAAGCTCATTAAGACAGTGCTCGCTCTGGTCATTATGTTTGTGGTAAGTGCTGCCCCATTCCGTGTGATCCAGCTTGTGAATCTCCAGGTTTCTCACCCAACTCTAACCTTCTACATGAGCTACTACTTCTCCATCTGCCTCAGCTATGTCAGCAGCAACATCAATCCATTTCTCTACATCCTGATCAGTGGGAACTTCCAGAAGTGTCTCTGGAGGTGCATAAACATGGAAGTAAGGATGGCAGAACAAGATGTCAAACACATTGAAAATATACAGAAGTCAAGTTTTTGAAAAAATGTATTATCTATGTGCCAATTTTATTGGTCACTATAGCTAGGCCTGATTTCACTTCCTTCATCAAAGTGTAACTCAGAAGTGGCTTTGTCACTGGAATTGTACCAGTGTAAAGTTGGTGTGATAAGATGATCTGCTCCACTATTTGAAAGGTTATTGTTCCTAGAGGAGGGATTCTCTGCAAAAATATTCTTCATTATTGTGCCATTGCCTTTCTATGGTCATCTGTACGTAGACAAGCCAAATGTACAGAGACAGAAGTAGATGTTAAGAAAAAATATAGTCCTCTGGTAGTAAAAAAAAAAAAAAAGCTGCAAACATTGAGGACATTGTGTGTGAAGTCATGGAAACTGTTAATGACCACAAGAGACTTAGTTACTGATGACTCAGAAGGGGGTAACTTTCAATTTTTATCTGTAGATATACAGCTGTCTCATCTGGCACTCATTCCCGCAGCTATTGAAGGCAGGAGAGAGACATAAAAGGCCTTTTCAGAGGAAAACTACTTTTGAATTAACCTTTGTACATGTCCTTGCAAATAAAGAAGTGAATTCACAATATGCGTCATTGGAAATTATTAAACCTAAGTGTTTGTTTTTTTTTTTAAATGTACATTTCAGGGATAAGCCTTCATTTTTCTTTTCTCAAAATCCCTGCATCCAAGACGGCCCTGTGAAGGCTCTCTAGTCCTTGAAGAGCTCAATACTGGTTTCACTACATTGAGTACTGGGAGGAACTTGGTGCATGCCCAGGATGCATTCTTACTTGTCTGAGGAAGGGAAGAAGTCCTGCACGTTGCCAGTACTTAAACCACAAGATTTCCAGCACCAGGATGTAATCAAACAATATTATTAGAACATTGACAGCTAATAAAGAAAAACAGGAAAAAAATGTTAAAAAATCTAATGATATTGACAGAATTTCACATTTGGTGTTCACCATACTATGGGCTCATATTTGTCATATTCTCTCTTCAGACCACTTGCTTTTATCTCAGGAGTTTCACTAGGACCAAACATTTCACTAGGACCATTTATGATTGCAGTCTTGTTATTTTGAGGCTTGGTGAATCTGGAACACTTAAAATGCACCTCCTCATACTTGCAGTTAGTCCCCATCTTCTCATCCTATCCCAATTGGCCTATTATGCACATATTTACAGCACTTTGGAGGTTGCATTCTGTGATCCTATTCTGTGCTCTTCGAACACACTGTGGAACACATGACATAGGAAAGATGACAACTTCTTCACCAGGGGAGGGCTGGGCTGCCTTGTGACTCCCATTGAGCTGCAGATGCCCAGACTGTGGATGAGATAAGGCCCTGCTTTCTCCTGCCATCACATCTTCAGAAGAGGCCACTTCTGTACATAAACCACCTTTCTTCCAGGAGCTCTGATGGAAAAACCTCTTTGGCTGCACTGTGGAGGGGTCAAGGCACCTGAAGACACATTCAGACTACAGTGAGCAGCAGTTGGACAGTAAATCATTAAGCATGATAGAGAGATAAGTAGATAGACAGATAGATGGATAGATGGATGGAGAGAGAGAGAGAGAGAGAGAGAAAGAGAGAGAAAGGATGTCTTCTAACATGGACCTTACTATCATGGTCACTAAATTCTCCATTGCTTAAAGGAAGGCAGTGAAGGTTTTTTCACATGGAAAAACTGCTGAATTAATTTAGTTTAACTCAAGTGAGAACAGAAAAATTCATTGACTTATTAGTGCTGTATAATAATTGGTAATCTATGAATTATATTAAGGACTAACATCAGATCTAACACTATACTAGGCTCTTAGAAATGTTAGCATAAACATGTATAAATTTCTAAACACCCATCTATATCTTATTCCACAAAATGCTAGCCTTTGTAAGTCCCTGCTTACTGTTTAATCTGGTCATCCTTCTCTTCATTATTAACAATTATGAATCGTTATGGACAAGACAGTTTTGAGCATCCTTTTCACACACACTGTCTGCACTCACAATACTGTATTACCAGCCATTATTATCCTGGCTAGAGGAAGGACCTGTCAGGCACCTTCTCAAAGTAACAAGAGCGCATATGCTTATTCTCCAATTGTACTGCTTCAGTCAAACATCTATCACACAAATTTCATGTCTAGGGAAGTCAGTTTACTGAGGATACTTGAGTTATTTTTGGATTTCTTTTTCAAAAAAAAAAAAAAAAAAAAAAAAAACTCTGAAAAAGAGGAAGAAAACTCCAGATATAGACAACAGTTATGCTCAGTTGGTAACACTTTATTACCAGGATGATGAACAATCAAAAGGCACTGGTGGGTCAGTTTTAGGGACAACAGACATGTGAAAAGCAGACTCCAGACTTTACAATCTTTGCTGGGGACATATGCTCTGTGACTTTTCCACAGCAGTTCTGTTTTCATGCAAGGGTTTGGTTCCAGATGGCAGTGGCAGATTGCTTGTCTCCATCTGCCTCCCAAACATTACAGGGTTTGGTGGTGCTAAGCTGGAAGCACTCCTCCAGTCAAAGCACATCTGAGCCCCGCAGTATGTGGCATCACTCCCAGTGCCTCGCCAAGCTTCAGTTTAGAAGTTGCTGTCATTCTAATGCATTTTGGTTTTGAGAAGCCGGCTGGTTACCATCGTACTTTCCTATTTCAAAGGATGCAATTGGAATTAATCACCAAGACCTGAAGGATGCACACCAGAGAACATTCCTGATACCGAAAGAAGCTTTAGTTTTGTCCTTATGCAGATTTATTTTTTTACTGTTGAGCCTTTATCGTGTTGCTAACAATGACCCACACCTACTCTGATGCCAAATTATATAATATATAATAATAGAATATATATATATATATTTTTCTGTTTGAAAAGATGTGAGAGAATAAAAATATCTTGTAATTGGTACCCTACAAACTGAAAAGAAGGACTTCTGAAAGTAATAGCATAACTATGAATTGTCTGGGCCACTTGCTCCAATCTTAGTTCAAGCTCTAAACTTCATCAATGTGTTTTTTTCATAAAATAGTAACAGGAGGGATAAGAAGATTAGCATGCTTGTGCTTTGCTTAGGCCATTTGTACTGAAAAGGAACAAACAAAAGCCTTATTTAAAGTATTTTTATAAGATCTTTAAGACGAAAGTAATGGTTTCTTCCTTTTATCGTAAGTATTTCTGACATTTTGTTTCAATGAGGATTTCATTTTAAAGAATTCTTTCCACATGGGATTTGTAAAACAATGTCTCCACGCTTCCTTGTCTTCTTGAGCAGTGCAACAAGCTCTGCTGGGGAATATTCTGTGTTTAATAAATCATGTTAGAGACCATATAGAGATGTTCTTTACCTTCCTGTGGACACAGTCATTTTAGAAAAAAACAGGTTTTTCTATATTGCAAACATTATCTTTTCTAAATATACTGCAGTTGCAACTTTGATTCAGCAAAATACTTATGCACCTGTTTCTGCCTATTCAATTCATCTGGATTTAGGAGTATGCTTGAACACTTTGACAGGCCTATCTTCTGGTCTCCTGTAGAGAAATGAGAATATCAGAGTTATTTCCTTAGCTTTTTGTAAATCACTTCTTGAAGACAAAGAAACATTATCTTGGCTTTGTGATGTAGTGTACTGCTTTGTCTCCCTCGTGGTTTGAGATTTGGAAGGGCTTTGGCCAGGTCTGAAGCTCCAAGCTAAGTGGGAGGATTGAAGACACTTAAACCTGCACCCATCACTGCAGGAAATTGGTCAGATAAAGCTGAAATTTCAGCAAAGATTCTCCTGACCAGATTTCAAGCCATTATCTGGCTTAAGATACAGAATCAATATGGAAGTCTTGCTTGTGAGCCCAGATTTCCTAATTCTTTCACGTCTGAACCATGAAGAGAAACAGAGCAAGATAATTTTGATATAGGATTAATTGTCAATAAGTTAAAGTTGTTACTGAGGGGTAGGGAGAGGAAAAAATTGGAAATAGGCTGCACAAGTAAAGACCCACAGTACTAAGTGTCCCGGACAGACAGCCATTCCCAGTGAGGGGTTTCTGGGCTGGGAATGTGGAGCTGGACAGAAGAACTTGGTCAGCCTGGCAGGGAACTGGGGGCATGCCAGCTGCCTGCGGCTGTCCCACTTCCCTGGGCTGTGGGAAGGCAGCAGAGAGAAATGCCTTCTCATCCTGTTCAGACCTTTTGTAGCTTCAGCCCTTAGAATCCATTCCTTTCTGCCTTTTGTCCATTTAGGAACAGTGGCAGAGGACAAGAGAGAGAAGGTAACACAAAGAAGAAAGGAGGAAAATGCAGTTCTTCGGTGTTTGAAGAATCTGAACATGGTCTTCTTGAAAGTGTTTTCACTAAGGAAGAAGGAAAACACAGAGAGAAAATAATTAACAACAAATGGATTCATTTAAAGTTGAGGAGGATTTTTTTCTATTTTTTTCATTTCTGATGCTTTTAACTTCTGCCATTCATTAGACCAACAGCAAAAGAGAACAAAAGTAACTTGAATAGTCTCATAATCTGCTCTATTTAAATAAATAAGGCTCACAAACAAGAAAAAATAAATTAAATCCTTGCTTTTAGCTGGAGAGAGAACTAACAATTGCATTACTGGGAAATATGCCATTTTCTCTAAAGTTTATATGTAAAGTCTAAAAATTCACTAAGCACTAGTGGCATAAAGAAAATTGAGAGGAGGGGTGGGTCTGGCTTTTTCACCACTGTTTTCAGCACCTTCTGATTTGTGTGGTTGGAAAAAAACATATATATACTGAAATTGTGATAGACCTGCTTTGGAATTAGAGCTATACAAGCAGAAAGAGAGATGCACCTTTTTTTTTTTTTCATGCAATCTTGTTCAGGATTCTGCTGTAAAAGAAATGTGCAAGTATCTGGACTTTAAGGACTAATCGTTATAAATCTACAATTACATTAATTAAATATTTAACCTTGCCATTTTCCCATCTTATTTTAGAAGATACAAAATTAATTGATGAATAAATAAAGATTTACTTTATTTTACTATGCATTAAGTTTTGAAGAAACCTGCACGCTTCTAGGTATTTCCTCACATGTCCTTGACTTTGAGTTTTGCTACCAGTAGAGATAATTGGACTAACTTG